GGTGGCTCAGCCCTGTTCCCTGCATTCCTCTACAGTACTTCCTGTTGATATACTATTCATTAGTAAAAATTCACAATATTATTTTTCTCTGGTTGTAACATCTAATGCCAATTTGAAGAGCTTAATAGATTGGCAGTGTAGGCTTCAGAGGACTGAGTTTCAATCCTGCCTTCTCAATTTACTTGCTGAATGACAGCTTAGCTTTTCTGTGCCCCAGCTTTTTTAGCTAAAAAATGGAGCTAATAGTACCCTTCACAAAGTGTTGTTATGAAGCAATATACATAAATACATAGAACATATAAATATTTATGGATTTTCAAATATTACAACCACTTTTAAAAACAAATTCATCATAAGAAATTGTCATTTTCTTCTCTTTAGCATTTCTAAGTTCTCTTTCACAGGTCATCTAGAGAACTAGCAGATTTTAGCTACTATGGCTACTATTGTTTGCTACTAAAAAATGTTTAATGTGGCATGTTTTTACTCAAACTCATACAAAATGGTATGGGAAAGAATTCCTGGGCAATATAAATTTGGTTACTAGGGAAAGTGATACTAGAAACAATTGAAATCTTTTTGCATTTTGAAGTCATTTTGGTTCTTTATGTCTTATATTGACAGAACAAAACAAAACCAACACACAATCTTTATCCAACCTCTGGCCTTTAAATCCTTACTGTCGATTTATTGAAGTTTCACAGTTAATTAGCATTAAAAATTCATATAACTCAGATTTAATTTATGTTAATAAACAGGTTAAGACCCAAACAGGTTAACTGAAAAGTAAAGAAGTGAGTTTCAGGTATTTAACAAACTGTTCCTAAGTGTGAGAACTCCTGTTATGGCCACTGATGGCTAGCTATAATTGTGAATGGATATTTTCATGGTAAAATTAAAAGTTTACATTTTTCATTTCAGTTTATACAAATTAGCACAATTCCAAACTAAGTGTTATTTTTTCCTGCTTTTTCTCAAATGATCAGTCAGCTTTAAAATACTGTATAACATAACATGAAAGATAAAATATTGTCAGTGTATCAATCCTATTTTCAATTTAGGGATTAAGGTTATGTTGAACAACATGGCGAAATGCTAGTGTACTTAATTTAGTGATAAAGTTCCCATCTTATTGTTTAAAGCTTACACTGCTTATTTCAGATCACATCCACACTCATTAAAAAAATATTGTTTTTCATATTTAGTACATCACTTAAAATTCATGGTGATGGTGAGACAGGGACTGTGGGTGTAGTCAGAGCAGGGTGAGGGCCTCCGGAAAAAGCAAGGCAGGATATTTGCAGTCAGAGCAATGTAACTACATGCAAGGAAACCCCGTACCAAAACTCTGTGTTAAACATTCAGCTCTGGAGTCATTCTTCAGTGAGATCACTTAATATTTCCCAGATAAAGAAGAGTAGCACATGTTTTTATTATGCTAATCATGTGAAAGACATTAACATGCTAAAAGGCCCAGGCCTATATGCCTTCTTTCCTCCTTCAGATCTGATGAAGTGATTTTGCAAACTGGGCAAACTAATTTAGCCTGCAGGCCCAGCCATAACACAGTAAAAGGCAGGGAGGATTCCACCTTAAAGATAAGATTGCATGTTAATACCCAGTAAGTTAAGAAGTTAGAAATTCTTCACTTACTTTTTAGCAAACAATACCTCAGCCCACCTTGGGGGCTGGGCAGGTGGCCTTGTTTCATGTACCCCCCAGACCAAGATACTGGTATCTCAGGGAGAAATCATCAGAGCAGGAAGTTGCTTGTGTTAAGTTAATTCTAAATATTCAGGGAGCACTCAATAAGTCCACACCCCTAAGCTTTTTTTCATGTTCTCAAAAATCCTCAACTGCTTATAAAACCCCTAGACAATGCACCACTACAGACTCTCTTGGAGCTCTGTCCTTTCACTTTATTCCTAATAAAAGCCTTTAACTTGCTCTCCTCCTTTGAGTGTTTGTGAAGCTCATTCTTCGGCTTTGTGAACAAGAACCCTGGCATCAATGGTACTAAATCATTTTAAGAAATCACAGACTATCCAATGACTATGAAATTTGGAAGGCTTGAACACTTTCTTTAGTGATTGTAGGAAGAAAGAAAGAACACTCTTGACAATGGAAACATTGCTATTTTTCTTGATAATAGTTTGAAATCATAGATTTTTTTTATATTGATGATAATCAGTTTATAGATCTCTTAAACTGGAGTACTCTTTCATGCCAAGATTAATGGTAGAACTTTTGTGTAGACTTAGTTTATTCTACTGTGTGCAAAGAAGTGGATTTATGTGGTTAGTTGAGAACTCATATCTGTTTGCAGTTCAGGATATTCTTAGAGGACTTTAAATGAAACATTTTTAAAGTACCAAAGAGACAGTCTTCACTGTCACTAATAGGGAAAATATGAAGCAATAAATGATATTCTTGAAAACATATGTTTTTTACCCCCAGTCATCCCTACCATGTTAAAAAACCCCCACAGAAACAATATATCCTTAGTTACTTTAACAAGAGTAACTAAATTATGAGGAGAGGACTCAGAACAGCTACAAAGGGCACGGGTGAAGCAGAATTTAGACCAATTTAGATGTAAGACAATGACATGTGTGGGTAAAATTGAAACATTTCCAGAATTTCTCACCTGGTATTAGTGCATCTGCATATCAACAGGCGTTCAGAGGTTTACAAATAGGCTTTAGTGCATTTGCATCTTTCCTCATGGGGTGGAGAAGTTCATCTCCATATCAGTGGGTAATTACCTGGGCAACAGAGGGCTTATCTGTACCTGAGAGGTGAGGAGGAGGGTCGGTGTGTGGTTGCTGCTTGCACAGAAAAGAAAGACAGCCTGGGACTGCAGTTTTGTAAGTAATAAGTGTGTTTTAAACTTTATTTCTCCCTTTGACTGATTTTGGTTTTTAGAGGTATTTTGCCCTGGGATTTCCTTTTCCCAGACTTACAACATGAAATTCCAAATATTCTACAATAGGCGCACTGCTGGGTTGTACAAGGTGTGCAAGTCCAACTGATGATTGACAAGAAAATATAAAAAGAAACTGAATGGCAGTACATTATCTCTATCAGCAGGGTAAGAGCTTGGGCAGCCCTGCTGGACCAGAAGCTGTGGTTTCAGAATACACGTATCTTATCTTGCTACTTCACCCATGGAACCCCCAACCAGGCTGGAGAATCACACAATGGGTAACTTTAGCCAGGTTCATCCTAGGTGCAAAGTGACCCACAGTTCTTTGTATACAGTACATTGCTTTGATATTACGTCTTTTAAGTTTAGACTCCCTTTTCTCCGCCATGGAGGTGAGTTAAAAGCTTGCTGCTGAGCTGGATGCAAAGGAGACAAATACACAGCATGCAGGTCAAGGCCTACTCCATAAAAAAAAGAGATTATGTCTTTGTAGAATACGCCACATCTTTTTTTCTCCAGAAATACAATCCTTTGCTACATACTCTATAAAAAAGACCCAAAGTTAAGTCAACTTGAAATAGAAGCTGCTTAAAAATAAAAGCTTTCTTTTCTAAGAGATATTTAAAAAGATATAAAGCAGAAGCGGACTTGAATTTCTAACAAACTAAAATCACTCAGATTTCCTTAAGGTCAAGCTGAAAGTTAAATACCTAAGGCAAGTGTCTTTGTTAGTACTTGAACTAAAGCTCTACAAAGCTCTAATGGGTACTTGTAGTGTAGAAAACACAGAGGTCAGAAAGTTAATAGTAGCAAGAAAGTAAATGACTCTTAGGAAGGAATCTCAAAACTCAATTTTCACCTACTCCTTTGCTCTCTAAACCAAAATGACTCTCTAACAGGTGTCTCTAGACATGATTTTTGCCAGATGTAAGCAGGATTTGATGTTTTTCTCCCCATCTTTTACTGTAAGGAAAACTGAGAGGTAAAGGAATCCTGTCTCTCCCTTTTTAAATAGCTATAGGATAAAGAGTACAATAAAAAGAGAAAATCTGTTATCTATAGAACTGAGTTTTATACTGAGAAATGCAATAGAAAAATTCCATAATACAGGACTTAAAAATTTCTTTAAGGCTCAGTCTATGACCCTAAAATTAAAAAATATATATTATAGTGAGAGTCAGGTCCATGGCCATCCAACTCTGTATCTTCTAATTGCTCTAGGCATGTATAATAGGAACAAACACAACCTTCATAAATCTGAGAGCCAATCATTATAAATGGACAAAGGAAGGTGGGGGTCTTATTTGAAATATTAAATGAACTTCAGAGTCAGAATTAAGGTGAGGTAAGAAAGACATCTTGGGTCCAAAATTTTAGGAGGCATTTACCCTCAGGTATGTGCATGGCCCTGTGAGTGAACGCCCCCTGAAGTCCCAGTGCCCCTTTTGCCTCACCCCAGTCCCTGCCCAGATGCAATGAGTTACCTACAAAAATCAGAGTAAACCAGCAAAAGAAAACCAAACCAGAGCTGTAACTGGTGAGGACTCTGAAGGAGAGCTGGCAAGGTCACACATACAGTGGGAAAAGACAAAGGAGAAGAAAACATGTAATTATAACATCTCTCTCTGCCTATTCAGTCACCTATGGACTATTTCTTGCTCTATGACACTGTGTTTGAAAATCGCACTAAAGAGAAGGGAGTGAGTTCATAAGACATCTAGTTAATTACCTGTTTATGCTTCCAAGATGTCCCAATATTGCCTGTTAAATAGGCTCACTGCTTACCAACATATTTTATGTAACGTCTTTAAAGGTTACTTGCTGGTTTTAAGATTTGCAGCTGTTTTGTTTCTCTACTTTCTAGGGGAAATCTTTCATATCCAGAAATCAACAGAGGATTTAGGATATTTCTTTGCCACTGCTGAAACTTTTTTTCCCAAGTGGCTAATATCAAACTGGAAAATAATCAGTATATAAGGAACAGCTAACTCAGCAATTGCATCATCACAGCAGAATTTCTTTGAAACCTGTACTCTGATGAAACTTCAATAAATTAATTAGAGTGTAAACTTACGTTAAAGCTTCTGAGTAATTGTAATGAGAAGAGACTCCTAGAAACTTCTGTACTTCATCCATCACTGTAGCAGGATCAGTTCTTAGCTGTTGCCCATTGATAATTAGCAACTAAATTGCCAAAGAAATAAGACAGTGCATATTGAAAAAAGGTATGTATTGTATAACAAAAAATTTCTGCACTATGAATTTATTCAATAAGAGACACTCTACTGAAAGGATCTGCATGTGATGTTGTTAGACTTAACCAGGGCATTCTTATTAATGACCTCCAACAAGAATAAATCACACTAATTAAGTGCAATCATGTTTTGTAATCTGCAAAGTCCTGCAAACACCAGGAAAACAAAAAAGCCAAGAGAGCCTAAGAATGTAATTATGAAATCACAAATGGAAACCAAGTTTAAAAATAGGCATAACAATGATTCCCTCATTCAAACTGGGAAAGAGCAGTGTAGAAAAGAAGAAAGATTACAATAATTCTAGGTGTAAAGAGACAGAGGGCTGTCATTCTCCACAACTCTATTCTAAAGAGTAGCACTGCAAAGTTTTAAGAAATACATTGAAAATCCACTTGAAGGAAAAGGTACGATTCCCAGAGAACCTGAGTGTGGACAGAAGTTCCTTAACAAAGGGGGAGAATTTGCTTGTTACTCTAGTGCGGTGGGGGAGAGCACGAACCCAGAAATGGCAGGGTCCATGATAGAGAGCCACAGAACCTGCAATGCAACTCTTGCTCACACGTCTTCTTTAAAATACGTGTTTAGTCTAGACCAGCATTGTTCAACAGAACTTTCTCTGCTGCTGGACATGTTCTACAGCTCTGGTGTCTAAAAGGTGGCTACAAATTATATGAAATGTGACTAATGTGATTGAGGGTCTGAATTTTTAATTTTATATACTTTTAATACAAATTAAAGTAGCCATATGTAGTAGTGGGTATCATATTGGACAGCATAGTTCTAAGCATGCAAACATGTATTATGTCTGATATGACTGGACTGCTTTATGCCATTCAATGTAGGAGCTGATTTGTAATCTAGGTTGATGCTAGGCAAAAGAGAGAAGGAAAGAAGCCAAGAAAAGCATAGAATTTATGGAAAATTCAGTAATGTGGCTTAAAGCAAAATAATGGCATTTAATTAAGCAAAGCAATATTTGCTTTGTTTAGTTAAGAGGTTCTCAAGCTTTATTCTCAGAATAAGAATCAGGGATATGAAGCCTTTAAGGCTCTTTATAATCAGGAAAAGTATGCACTAGAAAATAGAGCAGGGAGTATTATCCTGAAATACTTTTAGAAAGAAAATTAAACAACTTCTATCTCTGCCTATCTATTACTCTGCTATAGTCTCATTATTTACATTACAAAGCTAGTAATGTTCTAATGAGTAAAATTTCCTCTATCCTAAAGGCAAAGACATTAATTTAATAAGATTGTAACATGATGTAAATTTTTATTGCTCAATACCTGAAATGGAGGGAAATAAACAAGCCATCTTTCAATGTGGCTGGCATACCACCCTGGGATCAAACATCTCTTCTGTAAGGCTCTAAGCTCGGAGGGTGCACGGGGCCCCGCTGTGATCACTTCGTAGAAGCTAAACTTCAGAGCGGCAGGGTCTCCATGTGATCGCTGATGCTATGAAGAAAAGGTGGATAATTAAACTAACTTGTAACATAGGCATAAATAATTAAAACCAATCTCTGTGACAAGTCTCAAAGCTAAAGGAAGAAATGCCTTCCTTCTGAAGAGTTATATGTTTTGCAATTAATAAGGATGAAAATGTTCGCTTGGAGCACCAGGACTTAAAGTTATGACACTGATGAAAGTGTATTTTTTTATGATTATTCATTTGATTTTTATACTTAATTTATTTGTGAATCCTACATTTCTCCCTTATTATTATTATTACTATTATTATTATTTTTTAATAAAATGCTGAAGTGGTAGGTAGATGCAAGATAAAGGTAGAGAACATAATTTAGTGCTGTAAGAGGGCAAATGTAGATGATCAGGTCTGTGCCATTAGACTAAGTATTAATCCAAGCTAGACAAGGGCAACAAAACATCCACGGATGCAGAAGATTTCTCTCAAAACAGGTGTAGGTCTGCTTTTGTTATGTAGCTGTATTCCTATTATGTTAATGTGTGTATGCAATTTAATTAGTAGTTTGTTAAAGCCTATACATGCTTATGTTACTCTACAACAAGATTTGTCAAAGAAATAATCAATCTTCCCATGTTTTCTTCTGTCTGTTACTTCTATAGCTTTTCTTCTTCCTTCCTAATTACAACCCTTTAGTAGAATTCGGGCCTCATATCGAAAATTACCAAGTATCATAATTCTTCCAAGTGGTAAAGATACCTCAAGACAAATGCTGGGCATAGAAGCCACAGGGCATAAAATCTGCAAAGAAGTAAAAAGCTAACCTTTTCAAAGAATATTGCTTCTCTCTCACTTACCAACTTTACATCTCCCTGTATGGCCCCAGAAGATGACTGGTTAGCCAGAGATGGGTAAGATTCCTCAAGGGAGGAACAACCTAAGACAGGCACAGTCGTAGGGGGGCCATCAGGTGAGAAATTAAAAGTGTATTTTTGAGAACATATTTGGTAGTGGCTGAACTCTTATTGACAGGATTCCTTAACCAACTTTACTGGTTGTTTCTTTAGTGTATATATTTTATTCTGAAAGCAAACTTTTGAAAGTTGCTTTAATGACCTTTTCACCCCATAAGCAAACCATTTATCATATCCAGTGAATAATGCACAAGCACTCTACTAGTTCTGCCACATAGTTTTGCTCCCTCCATTTAGTAATGCAGTTTTAGCTTAGAAAAGTCCTATTGGCTATTTTAAATGGGAAAATTACTGAAAATCTGACATGTACATTCAGCCTTTTTAATATACTACCTAGCATCTAAAAGCTGAGATTATTTTAGGTAATGGTAACCTTTGCAATAAATCAGAATCACTTATTGTACAAAAATTCAGAAAGCAGCAATCCAGATAGGAAAGCGTTTCATAATGGCTCACACTCAGGCCCATGTGTTTGAGGAAATCACCTTTTCACTAAATTGACTAATAAATATTCAGGCTTAGTGGTGGGTTTCTGGAGGTTTACCACATCTAGCTGAATAGCAAATTTGCTGCAATCGAGATTCAAATTACTACACTACAATCTATTGACTTTGTCAAGGCCTTCATTTTGCCACTCTGGAGTGATTTATGTGTAATATTTAGGATATTTTGTTAGTTTTCAGCATTGAAATCTCCTTTTTTAGTAAATTCTCAATTTTTCAGGAACTAAGAGGTTGCCAAACTGCAGTTTTCTTCTTTCTTTGAGTCAATTAAGGCTTATTTCTTTTTTTTCCAGATACCTGGTGAAAAAGGTAAGAGGCACAATGGCTCTAGGAGTTTGGCATGAATGATTAATGTGCAATTGTGGATTTCAGTTTTCCAGGATGTTCACTCTCTATTATGCCGATTATTATCAATATGCATATTTAAGTTCCCACCTGCTTTATATAAACTTTTCCCACTCTGTCGCAGTCACAAAACCTTTCCTGACAATTGAAAAAACTGTTTCTGTTAAATAAAAAGACTCAGTGCTAAGAAATTTTGTTCCCTAATTTCATAGATTGTCAGGAATTTAATATTTGAAATCCTGTCAGTGAGAATGGAATATTCTTGCCTGGAGAATTGAAGTTGTGTGGACACTTTAGTACAGAGAAGCAGCCTTATTTTCAACCCAGGTGCAGAGTTTCAGATAAGGGATTTTTGGACCAAAATTCCACATTTATCTTAACTTTATAGTTTCCAAGGAAATTGGACCCTTAGCCTACTTTTCAACCCTGTCCTGCTGATAACCCCCTTACACATAGCCCTGCTTTGCACCTATCAAAATACTCCATTTTAATTTTACCTACATTTTTGCCCTTACAAATCCTTCCCTTTACGGGAATGCCTAATAGTTTCTCTGGTGTTCAGGCTCCTCTGCTGCAGCCAATTATACCTAACTTGTTGTTCCTTATAGTGTTTATCAGACGGACATTACCACTCTGTAGGAGTCTGTCATTTAATACTTTCTGATTTTTACACTGGTTATTTATCCATATTTTTCTGATTAGATTGGAATCATTCTTGAATGTAGCATCCATATTTATTAATTTGTCTTCAAACCGCACTTAAAATAATACTTTACATATGGTAGTCATTAAAATTATTTAATGAATGGATGAACACATGAACATTAGGAAAGTGTTCTTTAAATTAAGTTTATAATTAAGGATTCTAGAGAATAAAGATGCTGAATCTAATTCATTTTGTATGTTTAATTTGTACTGCTTTTTTAAATTAAAGTATCATAGATATATAATCTTATGATGGTTTCACATACACAACACTATGGATTCAACATTCACCCATATTATCAAGTCCTCACCCCACATCATAGTCACTGTCCATCAGCAAGTAAGACGCTGTAGCATCATTACTTGTCTTATCCATGCTGTCACCTGTACTTCTTAAAAAAAAAATTTAAGGTGCACAGCATATTACTTTGATACATGTGCACAGTATAATATGACTGCCATTGAAGCAATATTTCTCACATCACATCATTGGATTATAGTATTATTGATTGTATTCATTATATTATGCATTAGATGTCTATGGCTTATTTACTACTTGTTACATTTGTACCCTTACATGCCACCAATGATTTTTTTAAATTAAGGCATCATTGATAGACAATCTTATGGAGGTTTCACATGAGCAACATTGTGGTTACTACATTTACCCATATTATCAAGTTTCCCCCACTATCCACTGCAGTCACTGTCCATCAGCATAGCAAGATGCCACAGAGTCACTACTTGTCTTCTCTGTGTTACACTGTCTTCAACTTGACTCTCCCTACACCACGTGTGACAGTCATAATGCCCCACAATCCTGTTCTCCCTCCCTCCACACCCACCCTCCCCCATTCCTCCCCTTTTGTAACTGCTAGTCCCTTCGTGGAGTCTGTGAGTCTGCTGCTGTTTTGTTCCTTCAGATTTGCTTTGTTGTTATACTCCAGAGATGAGGGAAATCATTTGGTACCTGTCTTTCTCTGCCTGGCTTATTTCACTGAGCATGACATCCCCCAGCTCCATCCATGTTGTTGCAAATGGTAGGATTTGTTTTTTCTTATGGTTGAATAATATTCCTTGTGTATATGTACCACCTCTTCTTTATCCATTCATCTACTGATGGACACTTAGGTTGCTTCCATATCTTGGCTATTGTAAATAGTGCAGCGATAAAGATAGGAATGCATACATCTTTTTGAATCTGGGATCTTGTTTTCTTTGGGTAAATTCCTAGGAGTGGAATTCCTGGGTCAAATGGTAGTTATATTTTTAGTTTTTTGAGGAACCTCCATACTGCTTTCCACACTGGTTGAATTAGTTTACATTCTCACCAGCAGTGTAGGAGGGTTCCCCTTTCTCCACATCCTCACCAACATTTGTTGTTGTTTGTCTTTTGGATGATGGCCATACTAACTGGTGTGAGGTGATATCTCATTGTGGTTCTAATTTGTATTTCCCTGATAATTAGTGATGTGGAGCATCTTTTCATGTGCCTGTTGGCCATCTGAATTTCTTTGGAGAAGTGTCTATTCATATCCTCTGCCCATTTTTTATTTTTATTTTATTTTTTATTTTTTTATATTTTGTTATCATTAATCTATGAAGAGCATTATGTTTACAGGCTCGCCCCTTCACCAAGTCTCCCCCACAAATCCCATTACAGTCACTGTCCATCAGTGTAGTAAGATGCTGTAGAATCACTACTTGTCTTCTCTGTGTTGTACAGCCCTCCCCATGCCCCCCCACATTATACATGCTAATCGTAATGCCCCCTTTCTTTTTCCCCGCCCATCCCTCCCTTCCTACCCACCCTCCCCAGTCCCTTTCCCTTTGGTAACTGTTAGTCCATTCTTGGGTTCTGTGATTCTGCTGCTGTTTTGTTCCTTCAGTTTTTCTTTGTTCTTAGACTCCATGTATGAGTGAAATCATTTGGTACCTGTCTTTCTCTGCTTGGCTTATTTCACTGAGCATAATACCCTCTAGCTCCATCCATGTTGTTGCAAATGGTAGGATTTGTTTTCTTCTTATGGCTGAATAATATTCCATTGTGTATATGTACCACATCTTCTTTATCCATTCATCTACTGATGGACACTTAGGTTGCTTCCATTTATTGGCTATTGTAAATAGTGCTGTGATAAACATAGGGGTGCATCTGTCTTTTTCAAACTGGGCTGCTGAATTCTTAGGGTGAATTCCTAGGAGTGGAATTCCTGGGTAAAATGGTATTTCTATTTTGAGGTTTCTGAGGAACCTCCATACTCCTTTCCACAATGGTTAAACTAATTTACATTCCCTCTGCCCATTTTTTAACTGGATAATTTGCTTTTTGGGTGTTGAGTAGTATGAGTTATTTACATATTTTGGATGTTAACCCCTTGTCACACATGTCATTTATGAATATGTTCTCCCATACTATCGGATGCCTTTTTTTTTCTTCTGATGGTGTCCTTTGCTCTACAGAAGCTTTCTTTTTGATGTAGTCCCATTTATTCATTTTTGCTT